TTCTACTTCCTATGCATATAACCTGTGTTTTACTAGTATTAATATTTAAACCAGATAATTTTGCATAATTATTCAATTCAAAGATAGACTCTCTCAAAGACCCCTCTGACCCATCCAATATCAACCCAGTGTCATCTGCATACTGCACATTTAAAATGGCTGAATTCTCAACATTGATACCACGAATGAGGTTATTGTTTTTTTTATTTTTGCTGCTAAAACTTCAGCACAGAGTATAAAAATATATGGTGCGATAGGATCACCTTGACGACATCCACGTTCAATATTAATATGTTGAGAGATATTGCCGCCCTGATTGATAGATGCATTTACGTTATTATGAAAACTTTTTAACCATTTTCTTGCGTCTTCCCCAAAGATAAAATAGCCAAGTACTTTATCTATAAATTCCCTTTTATATGTTTCCTTAATTTTATCGCCAAACCAATTTATAGCGCCAACACTTCTCTTGGCAAATGTGGCAGTACAACGAGGTTTTACTGTAGTAATTTCAATAACTCTTTTTGGTTCCAGAACGGGTCAATATTGTTTGCCGAACACACGCTGTTCAGTGAGTTATGTAAGAGATAAGGTGGCGAAGGGCGGACTACCCTCGTTGACGCTGACTGATTGTTACAGGACCGCCAAGTCGGAGACCAACACCGAACTGTCAGTGTTGTCTTGATTCATAAGCATTCCCATTTGTTTCCTGTTGATTGATAAATGTACAAATAAGACATCTAGGATATACCCCATCGACGTTTCATTTATAATGATATCATCCCCTTGTATTTCTAACATATTTCCATTGGAAAATGCACACATGTTTTCACAGGAGACAGGACCACTATGGACCACTTGATTTCCGATATTACGGAATTCCACCTGATGTAACATGTAAAGAGATATTGATGTCCGATATTACGGAATTCCACCTGATGTAACATGTAAAGAGACCTTGCTGTCCGATATTACGGAATTCCACCTGATGTAACATGTAAAGAGACATTGATGTCCGATATTACGGAATTCCACCTGATGTAACATGTAAAGAGACCTTGGTGTCCGATATTACGGAATTCCACCTGATGTAACATGTAAAGAGACCTTGGTGTCCGATATTACGGAATTCCACCTGATGTAACATGTAAAGAGACCTTGGTGTCCGATATTACGGAATTCCACCTGATGTAACATGTAAAGAGACCTTGGTGTCCGATATTACGGAATTCCACCTGATGTAACATGTAAAGAGACCTTGGTGTCCGATATTACGGAATTCCACCTGATGTAACATGTAAAGAGACCTTGGTGTCCGATATTACGGAATTCCACCTGATGTAACATGTAAAGAGACCTTGGTGTCCGATATTACGGAATTCCACCTGATGTAACATGTAAAGAGACCTTGGTGTCCGATATTACGGAATTCCACCTGATGTAACATGTAAAGAGACCTTGGTGTCCGATATTACGGAATTCCACCTGATGTAACATGTAAAGAGACCTTGGTGTCCGATATTACGGAATTCCACCTGATGTAACATGTAAAGAGACCTTGGTGTCCGATATTACGGAATTCCACCTGATGTAACATGTAAAGAGACCTTGGTGTCCGATATTACGGAATTCCACCTGATGTAACATGTAAAGAGACCTTGGTGTCCGATATTACGGAATTCCACCTGATGTAACATGTAAAGAGACCTTGGTGTCCGATATTACGGAATTCCACCTGATGTAACATGTAAAGAGACCTTGGTGTCCGATATTACGGAATTCCACCTGATGTAACATGTAAAGAGACCTTGGTGTCCGATATTACGGAATTCCACCTGATGTAACATGTAAAGAGACCTTGGTGTCCGATATTACGGAATTCCACCTGATGTAACATGTAAAGAGACTTTGGTGTCCGATATTACGGAATTCCACCTGATGTAACATGTAAAGAGACCTTGGTGTCCGATATTACGGAATTCCACCTGATGTAACATGTAAAGAGACCTTGGTGTCCGATATTACGGAATTCCACCTGATGTAACATGTAAAGAGACCTTGGTGTCCGATATTACGGAATTCCACCTGATGTAACATGTAAAGAGACCTTGGTGTCCGATATTACGGAATTCCACCTGATGTAACATGTAAAGAGACCTTGGTGTCCGATATTACGGAATTCCACCTGATGTAACATGTAAAGAGACCTTGGTGTCCGATATTACGGAATTCCACCTGATGTAACATGTAAAGAGACCTTGGTGTCCGATATTACGGAATTCCACCTGATGTAACATGTAAAGAGACCTTGGTGTCCGATATTACGGAATTCCACCTGATGTAACATGTAAAGAGACCTTGGTGTCCGATATTACGGAATTCCACCTGATGTAACATGTAAAGAGACCTTGGTGTCCGATATTACGGAATTCCACCTGATGTAACATGTAAAGAGACCTTGGTGTCCGATATTACGGAATTCCACCTGATGTAACATGTAAAGAGACCTTGGTGTCCGATATTACGGAATTCCACCTGATGTAACATGTAAAGAGACCTTGGTGTCCGATATTACGGAATTCCACCTGATGTAACATGTAAAGAGACCTTGGTGTCCGATATTACGGAATTCCACCTGATGTAACATGTAAAGAGACTTTGGTGTCCGATATTACGGAATTCCACCTGATGTAACATGTAAAGAGACCTTGGTGTCCGATATTACGGAATTCCACCTGATGTAACATGTAAAGAGACCTTGGTGTCCGATATTACGGAATTCCACCTGATGTAACATGTAAAGAGACCTTGGTGTCCGATATTACGGAATTCCACCTGATGTAACATGTAAAGAGACCTTGGTGTCCGATATTACGGAATTCCACCTGATGTAACATGTAAAGAGACCTTGGTGTCCGATATTACGGAATTCCACCTGATGTAACATGTAAAGAGACTTTGGTGTCCGATATTACGGAATTCCACCTGATGTAACATGTAAAGAGACCTTGGTGTCCGATATTACGGAATTCCACCTGATGTAACATGTAAAGAGACCTTGGTGTCCGATATTACGGAATTCCACCTGATGTAACATGTAAAGAGACCTTGGTGTCCGATATTACGGAATTCCACCTGATGTAACATGTAAAGAGACCTTGGTGTCCGATATTACGGAATTCCACCTGATGTAACATGTAAAGAGACCTTGGTGTCCGATATTACGGAATTCCACCTGATGTAACATGTAAAGAGACCTTGGTGTCCGATATTACGGAATTCCACCTGATGTAACATGTAAAGAGACCTTGGTGTCCGATATTACGGAATTCCACCTGATGTAACATGTAAAGAGACCTTGGTGTCCGATATTACGGAATTCCACCTGATGTAACATGTAAAGAGACCTTGGTGTCCGATATTACGGAATTCCACCTGATGTAACATGTAAAGAGACCTTGGTGTCCGATATTACGGAATTCCACCTGATGTAACATGTAAAGAGACCTTGGTGTCCGATATTACGGAATTCCACCTGATGTAACATGTAAAGAGACCTTGGTGTCCGATATTACGGAATTCCACCTGATGTAACATGTAAAGAGACCTTGGTGTCCGATATTACGGAATTCCACCTGATGTAACATGTAAAGAGACTTTGGTGTCCGATATTACGGAATTCCACCTGATGTAACATGTAAAGAGACCTTGGTGTCCGATATTACGGAATTCCACCTGATGTAACATGTAAAGAGACCTTGGTGTCCGATATTACGGAATTCCACCTGATGTAACATGTAAAGAGACCTTGGTGTCCGATATTACGGAATTCCACCTGATGTAACATGTAAAGAGACCTTGGTGTCCGATATTACGGAATTCCACCTGATGTAACATGTAAAGACACATTGATGTCCGATATTACGGAATTCCACCTGATGTAACATGTAAAGAGACCTTGATGTCCGATATTACAGAATTATACCTGATGTAATATGTAAAGAGATCTTGGTGTCCGATATTACGGAGTTCCTCTTGATGTAACAAGAGAAGGCAATTGTTTTTTTCGGATTAGTATCATTTTTATAATATTCATGCTGGGTATCGTCAATTAGTTTGTTTTCTTTTGTCCGTTCACTTCGAATGAACAGTCCTTCTACAGTATAACCATTTTGCTATTCTTCACTGTGTCCCTGGCGGTGATGAGTGATAACATGCTGGACTCTTCCGACTCTATATCTTACCTCTCCTTTGAGGAGGTTTTAGAAGCTTTAAGCAGAATGTCGAGGGCGGAGGGAGATCGCACAAGATCCCCAAAAACTTGGATGGAGATATAGAATGAAGAAAAGTAATGAATGATATAATGTGTCTGATATATACCTGCAGCAATGTGTTTCCACGAAAAGTGCAAAAAACAGCTAAGACAAAATTTATATTTCACCATCTTCAAGCTAAGTACCAAATAAGTTGATCTTTCAGAACTAATATGGATATTTTGTGTCAATGTGATGGTTTATTGCAGAGGGCGAAAAAGGCAAAAAATATAGTGCGGCGAAAGTTTTCTTATTTTTCAATTTTTGGGACCTCATGCAATGAGACTTTTGCTAATGGAAATTGGTGTGTATTGTTTGTTTAAGGTTAAGCGTACTGTAAACAGACTAGTTTATGTAAGAACGAGTATCACTGTGTGTAATGTACGTGTTTATATATGCTGGTCCGTTATGTTGATGTATTTCCCTACTTGCGATAAGGTGGATCTGATGCCGACTCTAGAGTGCTTTCTCATTAAAATATCATTCAAAAGTCCAGTTTTCATTCCGGCCACATTATACTGTCAATGGGTGAATCGGTTGTTGCAATTACTCAAAATACCGAGCGTGAAGCAGAGAATAACAAATACTATTTATAAGGAATTGAGTATGTCTAGGTCTGGGGAGAGAATCTATTGTTTTATATATCTAACAACTTTCATATCGTAAAGAAACATAAAACGATCATAATAAAATCACATTTTTTTTTATTGAGGCAGCACAATCACGTATCTGCTGTTGTCGATGTTTAGTACCTGTAATGTAACAATTATAAACATTAAATATTCGGTAATTTGTGTTTTTCTTTCTATTCTTTATACATATTATGTCTATTTAAATACTGATGTAGTTATTTACATCTTTGAATTAACATTTTATCATCAAAGCGATATTATTGCATGAACGAACATTATTAGCATATGTCGAAATTGTGATGTGAATAGTTCCGATAAAATGTCGTCAAACGTACCTATGTACTGACAGGTGCACCGCCATTACCTCCCGGGCTGCTGGTTGTGAAACTTCCCAGATCAGGACCCAGCAAGTGCCCGTAGTTCTTTATTGCGTCTTCTACAACCTGAAGCAAGGAAATGCATATTCGCAACTCTTTTTTTTTTGGACTCGTGTATTATATTAGCCGGAGGTCGTAACTAGGAGAAAGGGCCCGTGTACAAGATAAATGGTAAAAAGTGTCACGTTGGTATCAGACGAAACAGTTGATTTAGAGGGTTGAGTGATAATTAAATAAACCATTGATTTTTAATTGATTTTTCTTTGAAAAACGTCAATACAGTACTACTGCCACTGTTCCTGATAGCACCAGCATAAAAAATGTATTTCTCCCACCCCTCACAGATGTTTCTCACGTTTTAGCCGGGAGAGATCAGATTGTCACCCCTGGGGAAAGATAGACTCGTGCCGATAAGCACGAGTTCAATTGTGACGTCATTAAAATGTGTCACCGGTTATTGTGTAGTCATTAAAAGTGAATGATGTTATTCATATTCCACATGTGTTTTTGTTTATAAACATTAAAGACTACTTTTGGTGGAGTTTTGACTGAAATAATAGGATGGGAGAAAAATAATCATCAGGTGATTTCACAGGTGATTTTGTTTAGTTGTCTTACCCTCGGCAAAGCCTCGGGTAAGACACCAAAAACACTCACCTGTGAACAGGTATGACAAACACACATATCACCTGGCTTTCACCTCGGGGTGATTTGTTTTGGTTGTGTAACCCTCGGCAGAGCCTCGGCTTAGACAACCAAAAACATCACCCCTCGAGTTGGAAATTTCCCTGTCACACCCTCAAGGTAGGGGGAGATTCTATAAATCTCCCTTATATCTGATGAAAATTATCATTGCGTTATTATTAGCCCGCCAACAATGTGGTCAATGGTCTCATGTTTAACAATATCATGTCACTGTTGTTAAAGGTGAAAGACTCGTAAAGCAGGTTATATCAGTTGCGATTGAACTAAAATGCATATATATGACATGAAACACACACAAAAAAAAAAAAATTGCAAAGCTACGTCTTCATTTCTCATATGTCCAGGCCAGATGGTATTTCCAAATGCAAATCATTCTTGACCTTGCATCAATGCATTGTTTACATGACGCCATACATTTCTGATGACTGGGGAATTCCCTTGTCAGACCCCAGGGTGAGACAAAACACTTTTCCATCCCGTGACGATTCTTAAGGATCACTGTCCAACTGCATTGAGGTTTTTCCTTTATTTACAGTAACCTCCCCTTAACGTCCGTTCCGATATAACTGTGGCACAGTTTGGCCAAGCCACCACCGTTGACCAGGTAGCCTAATCGGTAAGAGCGATAGTACAACAATTTGAAGTCTGGGGTTCGATTCCCGGTCTGGCCAAGCTGAATGTTAACGCTCAAAACACTGTGTTTGACCTAAATATTGTTATATTCATATTTATTCTTTCTCATTAAAGTCCCGCAAGGTATGGTTTTCTTCTCAGAAAATAATGTAGAGTAGAGTAGAGTAGAGTAGAGAGATATATCTCAACCACAATGGAGAGGGGACGATTCTGTGTCTCGTATTCTTTTGACTGTCATATATCGAATGTTGACATAACGTAAATGCACTGTGTACGTTGCGTCATACACTTGTTAAAACTTAGGAATATACTCGTCTAAATCCTACGATGAAACAACGANCCCCCTTCTTACCCAGAAGATTGATTTTGTGTGAGTGTTTCTCTCCTAAGCTGGTGAAACATTCTGTTGATCTCAGAAAGAGATCCGGGGTAAGGGGGAACATAATGTGTACGTACAAAAAATAAAGGTGATGCAATACAAAGACGTGTTACTTACTTTGGTGAAGAAGGCATCATATTCTCTCCGGCTCACTTGATTATCAACTACAATAAATTGTCAAATATAACTGAAGTCATTTTATCCTGGAGACAGTTGTTTTTACGAACTTCATTAAACAAAACTGTCTTAGGTTATCTATATACATTTCAGTGTCTTAATCTAGTTTGTCTTTTTTCACCCTTTTGAAAGGGGGCTTAATTATCACTACAGCGAACATTAGTCAACAAACAATTTTGATATTAAATAATTGTTTAAGACGAAATTAACACTGTGCTAATTTGGATTTCACAGACAAAGTTTGACAGGGCAAAAATAACCCGGTAAACAGTGTTTAACAGCAAAATGATTTATTACACGTGCCCATCGAATTGGTGGATAAAAGGTTGTATCTTTCCTTCTTCAACTCATCTCGTCAGTCTACATAAAGTATATAATATTGTTATACGGTCAATATTACACCACTACTTTATTTAGGTATTCTGTTAAAATGTTATCTATTTCTCCTTTTAGAAATGTATAATATAATAAATGTAAAGATACAGTATAATAACCGATACATAAAATGTTTTCAAGAGTAATACCACAGAATCAATTGACAACGATATTGGTATCTGAAAGCAGTCTGATCTGTAAAGCCCATATGATTTGCTGGCTGTGAAACATTTTATCGAGCTCCATTCACTCACCATTGTATACGGCATATTATCAGATCTTCTAAACTATGAACGTATGCCGTATAAATTGTTCATAGAATGGAGCTGCATTAAATTTTCATTTCGAGCAAATCTTATGGTTTTTGAGGAAAAGACTTCTTCCATATCTCATAAAGCGGCTTGCTAAAACTGAAGCATGCATGTTCATAACATGCAATATGCGTGCTTTTAAAACTTGTTCCTACAGTTGGTGTCCATCATGGTGTACTGGCCGTACTCGGCACCTTTGTCCAGGAAACCGTCTCCGTCAGTGTCCAGCTGTTGGAACACAATTCCGAGAAACCGATGAAACATGTCGGTGCCCCTTTGTTCGTATTCAGATTCACTCACTCGATCGTCCTCTGGTAAAGGAATAAATAAGAGATAGCGTCGTCTAATTTCAAGGTAAAAATAAGCCAAAATGAATATATTTTTGTACTATTTTTGAAAACTACAATTATGTTAAAGCGAAATAGCGTGGTATAAGTGCCCATCTTATATTTCATTTAATAACTGCTGTTTAAGATGTCAACGGCTTTATCCTTTTGGAATGTTATTAAGATGGGAATACCATTATAGTCATAGTCATTATAGAAAATGTATTTAGTATATCGTCAATTATAAACTTTACTCAGTTGACAAGAAAAAAAATCATATGGAACTGACTGAAAAATAATCAAAACAACAGGAACTTAATGATAATTATCAAAACAACTAGGAACTGATTGAAAATTTATCAAAACAACAGGAAATTAATGATAATTATCAAAACAACAGGAACTATCTGATGAACTATCAAAACAACAGGAACTGTCTGATAAATTATCAAAAATACATCAACGATCTGAAAAATTATCAAAAAACAGGAACTGATTGAAAAATTATCAAACAACAGGAACTATATGATAAATGAGCAAAACAACAAAAACTCTATGAGAAATTATCAAAACAGCAGGCACTTTATAATTATTATAAAAACAACGAGGAACTGTCTGATAAATTATCAAAAATACATCAACGATCTGAAAAATTATCAAAAAACAGGAACTGATTGAAAAATTATCAAAACAGCAGAAACTATATGATAAATTATCAGAACAACAAAAAATGACTGAAAAATTGTCAAAACAGCAGAAAATATATGATACATTATCAAAACAACAGAAACTGACTGAAAAATTACCAAAACAACAGAAACTGTATGATAAATGATCAAAACAACAGAAACTGACTGATAAATTATTAAAACAACAGTTACTATATGATAAATTATCAAAACAACAAAAACTGACCGACAATTTATCAAAACAGCAGAAACTATATGATAAATGATCAAAACAACAGAAACTGTCTGAAAAATTATCAAAACGGCAGAAACTATATGATAACAGAAACTGACTGAAAAAATATCAAAACAGCAGAAACTGACTAAAACAACAGAAACTATATGATAAATCATCAAAACAACAGAAACTGACTGAAAAAATATCAAAACAAGAGAAACTATGTAATAAATTATCAAAACAGCAGAAACTATATGATAAATCATCAAAACAACAGAAACTGACTGAAAAATTATCAAAACAGCAGAAACTATATGATAACAGAAACTGACTGAAAAATTATCAAAACAACAGAAACTATATGAAAAATTATTAAAACAATAGGAACAATATGATAAATTATCAAAACAACAGAAACCGAACGAGAAATCACCACAATTGACTGAAGTTCTCTAACTGAAAGACAAATACATCATCGTGATCAAAATATCAGAGGTAAAAAGGTGTTGGCTACCTACAAGTCACGGTCCATATTGATATCACGTAAAGGATAGCATAGGACTATGAACAATCTTATCCCAACTTAATCCCTACCGAGTCCCATGTCAACACTATAACTAGATTGAACAAGTATTGTTATCAATTTATGATATTAAAATAATGAAAAATGTCATCGGACATTATAAACTTCTACAGAAATATGATATAAGTATCCCTGTCCCGCTGCAACGTGATTTTCCTATACATGGTAACCTCCCCTTAATATCGCTTGGGATATACCTGTAGCACAGTTGATCAAGTAGTTCAGTCGGTTAGATTGACAATATAACAATTTGAAGTCCAGGGTTCGAATCTGTTACGTTGATGCTTTACACCCAGGACACTATTGTTGATGATTGTTTTGTTTATATCATCTTCATTATGTTTTCACAAAATTCCTGCAATGTCATTCCGGAAAAATATGTTTCGAATGCATAGGTTTTTTTTGTTTGTTGGTTTTATTTGTTGTTTTTTTGCAGCGGTACGGGGATCCTTAAAGGGTGGAAATGTTTCAAATAAATTAATTTAAGCATACTATTTGTATCAAGAGAGTCATAGACGTTGATCAGTTCATACAACTCCAGTATGCTGTCGCCGTTAAGATCGCGTCTATGGAATGTTGCATCCACCGCCCCCATGATATCATTGTGTGTGAAGCTCTGCCTACAAATTAAGTAAGTGTATAATACAATTTTGGCTATTTTCTCAGTGGAAGTGTTTTTTACGTTTAATCGTATAACCTTAAAAAACCAAACAAAAAGTGATGACATCATATACCGCAATGTTTGAATTAGTATTTGTAGTTCTAACTGATTGGTTGAGGTTGCTTGGCGATGAAATTTTTGCGCAATGCTGTGTTTTGTACAAAGAAATTTTGTTTTTATCAGAAATGAATAAATATTCACTGACCGTGTGTTAAAAAGTGCTGTTTGATATTTTAAATTAAATCATAAGAGATAGCGAGAAATATTGTTGGGTCTATACGGTATAAATCGAGAGAAAGTGTGTGCACCTTTGGGTATAAATCGCTTCGCAGATTTATGCAAAATGCACAGTTTGTTTTCGGTATATACCGTACAACCCCAGAAATAATACTGGTTATTCCTTAAAACAAGAATGCTTAATAGCAATTTTCAACGGTGATAATAGTTCTTTCATTAAATATAAACCCAAAGATTATTAACAAAATCCTAAATGCATCGTCACATAAAAATATAGATGTACCTGGTACATTATAGACTTCTTAAAGTACGTTGTCGTAATACACAGTTATCGATGAAGCCGAACAACCAGTGTTAAACGCAAACACAACAGAATTTCAAACATGAAATTTTAAGTTTTGCGTGACTAGTAATATATAATTACACTTCTGTATTACAATCTTTCCGAATGCCCTCTAACGATGAACCTGAATATAAATGATATGCCGCTTAAAACTTGCTTTTATAGTAGGTTTCGCGTTATATTGCGATTTTGTTTTTCTTCTACAAAAGTTACTTCAATAGGCTTTCATATAAACTGACACTTTAAATGTTTTGGGCGCTTTAATAGGTTTTACCTTATTTCGCGTTAATTGCGCGTTATATCGCAAAACTTTTGCGTCATATCGCGTAAGTTACATGTCAAAACGCCTTGTGTCGCGTTATTTCGCGTAAAAACCCTTCTGTTTTCTTCTTCGAAAATGAGCTCAGAAGGCTTTCGTAGTACACAGACCTGCTCTGTTTATATTGGATTCTAAAACTTCAAAAGAACCTTTTTAAAAAAAAAGTTTTATCGCTGGCTCAACTAAGCCATTTACCGAACCTCTTCCATCCATTCTTCAGTATCATTATATCAGTATCACCGACTTATTGTGAAACTGTATCCTTAAGAAGTAGAACAACTGGAATGTGGATTTTAAAGAATTCAAATGATCTTTTGGTCATTTTCTCTCTTACTAAGACTACATTTTAGAACATACACAAACGGAATAGCAGGCTTTCGTTGCTTAAACTACAATTTCGTCATTCCATTCCGGAATTTTAATTTGGTATATCTAGACATGGTATGACGGCCAGTAGTCTTTAGCGAGTGAAGCTAGTTTAGTCATAAGAGACCCGACTACGACCGATCACACAAAAACACAACACACGCAATAAACTATTGATAACACAAGAACATATCGAATTTATCCAACACAAATAACGGCTGAAATATTATCAATTCGATACATTATAGTTATAGACTTATTCGATAAGCGCACTGCACGCTAACACTTAACAGTCATTTAATGTGAAGTCTATATACAAAAAACTTAAACCAAACATTTTGAAATCAACGAATAAAAATTATCTCAAGAGTTTACCAATTTAAATACAACCGTGAAAAATATGACCCGCGAAAAGATATAGATTATTCAGTTAACTTAATATTTGTAACCTCGCTGATAAGAAGGTTAAAGCAAAATAAATAATGTCAAAGGGATTCGAAAATGACGAGATAAAGGAATAAATAGGAGCACTACATTGTCTTTGACCTAGTAAAGATAAGGACATGAACGGACGTGTACAGAAGCTATCTTATCACAACTCTTCATGACTATTTATATATTAACAGTACGTAGTAAACTGTTCTGGCAAACCTTTGTTTCCTAATTCAACAAAGTGACCCACATAGCACGTGAACAATATCTTTAAGTATATATCGTCGTTACGGAGCAAACTGTTTCTCTAGACGATTCCGTTATTTTCCGGGAAAACAGATAGAACACATAGTCCAATTCAATCAATCTGGTCGTAACCAGAGGATACTGTTCAATTTTTCTTTGCATTAGATCAAGATTTTAGAGTAAGAATCGATATACCCATTACAATAAAAGACTGTAAAATAAGAATTAAAACAAAGTTATTCTGGTGAGTTGAAACAAAGCATAAACGTCTGTAGAAAACGAAGTATCTGTCATAACCAGCACAGGCTGTCAAATTGTATTTAGATGAAATAAAATGATGTCAAAATTTAAATGTTTAGGTAGCAAAGAAAAGAATTTGATATTTGAGTTTTTTTTAACATTTTATTTATAAAATAGAACTATGAAAAAACCATATTACAAATATTTAAACAAAATCAAAAAAATCGCAATTTATCTTTACAAATAGATTGACATAACTAGTAGTCTTAATAGTCACTAATCCCAAGTCAGTCAGATAAAAGAGAACTATGTTGCAAAACTTAGTCCTTGATGTATAATAATATATAATTTGTAAATATTAACGATGAGCAAGTTGTACTCACGCAAATACGGTAGTGCAGCCGACGAAAACTATGAGTAACTGCAACAGCATTTTGGATTATCTAACGTAAAAGAATACATACACAGTATAAAGATGGGGCACACATAATTGGATGAAAATTGATCCTATTGAAATGAAATTAGTCGTATCATTACATATAAGGTTTAACCCTTTCCGGTAAGAAAGTAAAAGCCCAATGATTTTTGCGCATCTATCTTCGAGAATAAATAGCATCATAATGTTATAATAATGTAAACATGTACGTGATTGGTAAATCAATGTATTAAACTGACCCGCATAATTGTCGAAACTATATTCTTGTGTGTGTCTCTGAATACCAATCTTATAAATATTTAAACATGTGTGTTTTAGATATTTAAATTTGGAAAAACCCTGATTGCCAGTTATTTTTAAAGGTGGGAAAGTTTAAGGAAACTTTTGCTGTCGCCCTTGGATTGGACGGCGAAAATGGCGAAAATAAAACTGCCGGAATATCCTGTTATACAGTAAACGAATGAACTTTACCAATTCATTGTATTGTTGTCATACGTTGTTGCAACAACATATGTCTGCGCTTAGTTTGTTCACAAATTTGTAATATGAACTCGTGTCTGTATAATTCTGTCTTACTATTAAACCTATCACATAAACCCACGTCTATGCTACTCACCTTCCTAACCAAAGAATCGAACGTGTTGGTGGTCAGTCAGTTGTAAGGTGACGTGAAGACGACATGACCTTATCATTTATAAGTCAAATATCACGTGACATGTCAGATAGCTCAATTATTTCGTAATTATCATGTAGAGTGTGCGTGCTCTTTAAGTGACCTATATATTGATTCATTGGTATGTATCACGTGAACATTGAAAGTATTATTTTTGGTTTATTCAGATTATACCTTTGTCATTTTTAGAAGTGGAACATATTCAATTAAATGGAAATTAAAATTGTGACTTTGAAATTAAAGGTCGTCGCACGTATCAGTCACCACTATTGGGAATGAGTGTGACGTGTACAGTGACGGAACTCTACTTTAAACGGGAAAGTTCCTAAAATGGATGGGACACTTGTGGGAAACTGTCATGCAATGCAAAGGAGTTGTTTATGCATGCACTTTAAACTTGCTAATACTTTAATGGCAATATAATTACATATAACAGTTACATTACAAGCTGCTGGTTATAGTTACGCAGACAGTTAAAGTTAGTATAACCACACAAAAAAACTGGGTTCTTTTTCTTTTTTTCTTCTTCTATTTTATGGTTTATTATCTCGAATACAATAGGGAATACCAGTATGGGGCCTGGCCTAATCCCTGTACATAGTACATGTAGCATATTCATTCTCTGAATCTCTCTATCTTGTACGCTCATCTTCCTCACTCTGTCTATTTGTTCTCTTATTCATTTTCTTTCTTTCTCAATTTCTCTAACATTGATTTCAATTTCAATTTGCAAAAATCGCTTGTAACTTGTTCCCCAATTGTTGATATCTGTTAACGCTTTCAATCGCATTGATTGTAAATCTTAGTTCTTGTTTTACACACTTCAAAATATGCGGGGTGAAGTCAGCAACTTCATATTCATCATCAAATTTTATCTTATTTTTTTCTTTCCATAGGTGCAACTTTGTAATAAAGACAAACAAATTGATTATTGAATTATATTCTTGGTTTAAATTACAGCTTCCTAACATTATAACTTTCTCAGTTATTTGGTTTATTTGATTTGAATTTGATATTTCCTGTAAGGCTTTGTTTATCAATGAGTCAACTGTCTTCCAAATTTCTGTTATTTTATTGCATCTGAAGAATAAATGAAATAGATTTTCCTGAACTATATGACAAAGTGTACATAAACCGTTTGAGAGTCTCATTTTAAATAATTTTGCCTCCGTAGAAAAAATATAATGTAAGCATTTCCATTGGAAGTTGTTACATTTCTACTTGCTATAGATGATTTTAAAGAAGTCCAAATTTTAATCCAATCTATTTCATCATTTTGATAAACAGCATCCCAGCTACTTTGTACTTTGTACTTTGTACTTTGGGATAGTATTTCTTATTCAAAATTAGGTCTTTCAATATTTTATTCTTTAATCTATTCGTATCTATTACTTCATCGCTTTTATTTATTTTTATGTGTAGTTCATCAGTTATAACTATGGGTTCAATTTCTGGAGTCTCATGGTTAGTTGATTTTATTTCTTGTAACCAATTGTTACATGAAGAAATTGCCTTCTTGACTATGGAGAATTCTGATATCCAGTTATCTTTGAATCATAACTTCTCCAATAATTCTTGAGAATTTATAAAATTATTTCTTTCTTCACTCCATATGTCTTTTATTTTCATTATATTTGATTTTGTCCAGTTTTTTAGGAAGATCGGATTTTTTTTAATGTGATATTTGTGTTTCCAAATATCCATTGATTAAGTATTTCATCTTTTGTTTTGATCGAACGTCGTTTTAGCATAACCTGCCAACATTGAAGAGAGATCTTATAGAACTGCGGAATATTTTGTAATTCTAGTGATTTTGTAGTGTTACATTTACACAAAAAGAAATTTTGAGAGAAGGTAGAATCATGTTTTTGAAGCCAGTATTTCCCCAACGCAATCCAGCATTGTAGTTCTGAGTGAATGATCTTGTATATATTTTTAATACCCTTTAACGTCTCCATTAAGTCAAGATCAATCATATTTAATCCACCAATTTTAATTTCTCTATAACATGTTTCTTTTGCAACTTTATTTACATTAGAGTTCCATAAATATGTGTAAATTATCTTATTTATGGTGATTTTATGTTTCTGTGGTATGATTGTCTGTGATACTTCATAGTGGATAGTTGAGAGCATTGATGATTTTATTATAAGAATTTTTCCTTGAAGTGTAAGATTTCGTTTTTTCTAACAACGTATGGTTGACTCAATTTTCCAAATTTCATCCAAGTTTATTCCATAACCATGCACTATCCCAAGAGCCTTTATTCGCTCTACCCAAGTAATTTCCTTAAAGTTAGGAGGTCTCTGTTTCCATGTACCTATGTACATGCCTTTTGGTTTTTTTCTTATTTATTTTGGCACCAGATGCCTTTTCGTATTGGTTTAAAACTTTAAAGATTAAAGGAATAGATTTCTCATTACCAGCAAATAATTGTGAGTCGTCGGCAAACATATTACTTTTTGCTTCAATTTTTCCATTTTTACTAAACGGAATATGAATTCCTTTTATTGTTATATTTTTCCTAATAGAACATGCCATGGGTTCAGCTTGGAGGATATAAAACAACGGTGCTATCGGGCACCCTTGTTTTACGGAACGTGATAACTTAACCATTTTGAAATAAAGCCATTTGTAAGGATGTGACTAGATGATTGTTTATATGTCATTTTTATCCATTCTATAATTACTTTTCCAAATCCAAATTTTTTAAGACACATTTCTACCCATTCCCATTCCACCCGATCAAATGCCTTTTGTTGATCTAAAAAAGTAATACTTCCGCCTTTATTTTCTTCATTGGAGTACTCGATAATATCTTGGATTAAACGAATACTGTCTTCTATGTTTCTTCCCTTTACAAATCTCTTCTGGTCGCTATGAATAAACAAAACTGTTTTAATACATGTGCCGTGTGACCCTGTTAATTTAGATACCATTTTCAGAAGTAAGTGGTTTTTTTAAAATCAGTACTTATTTGGAGGAATCATTTAATCCGACCCCCTTCAGAGTTTTAATTATAACTTTTTGCTGATATTGATCGTTTATTTTCCTATATTAGCTAAATATTAAAGTGTACCGTTCCGGGTACAGTTACACGTGTTGAAGGGCCTACGCATCCTCGATCCTCTAGGGATTATGGGGCCTACGTGATCCTGATAGTATTTCGCGTTCCATTTATAGAACCACTGGTCGGGAATACCAATTTCTAATAGAAAAGAAAAGTGGATAGTATATTTTTATGAAAAATTAACAAACATTTTTGTACATGATACTATGGTATAAAATTCTTTGATATTTACATGAAATATTTTAGATACTGTGATATTGTAGCAAACGTCTTTTAGGTGATAAACTACAAAGCCTGTTCTAGATATGATAACCTAGCTATTCGTAAAGGTATATTACATACTTAATTGTGTAGTATATAATGTTTGAGCGGAAGCAGAAGTTAGCTGGAATGTTGAGTATAGGGTGTTTATCCGACAGTGATTTGACAAATGTTATTAAAACAAAAAAAGAAAATAATCAATGCTTATACTAAGATTTCTTTGATCAATAATTAAGAGTAATGAAGTTTGACAAGTACATTTACGAGGATGAATCTCTCTATTTCCGAACCTGTTATAACAAAACAAAGTCTTAAATAAGTTAATTTAAAGGTAGCGACCGGTCCCTGACGAAGCATAACTGACCGTCCGTATTCTGCGATACCCAGGTAGTACGGATTGGCCTTGAACAGCCTTGATACTGCAGGCATAACGCTCACTTTTGCTCTCCCCACTCCTGGAAAATCTCATAGCATTAGCAAAATTGAAGGCACGCAGCTAGCTATTTTAATTGTGGTTTTTAGATATTAATATCTGAAATAAAACGCAATTGTTGTATACAAGAATTAAGTTTATACACACATATTGAACGCAATCTTCAGACCTTTTATTGAATCTACTGACAGAGGAGCTTTGCGTGTTTTTAAGGTTGGATAGTTTAAGGATCGCGTTACGGTAAAATTGATTGGTTTTGTAGTCGGGTGTCGCTCCTCTGTAAGCTTCAACGGACAGGTAATGGCCTAGCGATTGGTCAGGTATTTTTTTTATTCGAGACCAATCAAATACGTAGATATCTTCGTGTCTTCAATTTTGCTATGACATATTCCAGAGACATAGCGCGGAAGTGAGCGTAACCCCTGGATTATCGAGGATGTTCCTAGGTAGACCACATTCTCTGGCGATAATACCCTGTCCACCTGGAAGAATCATACTTACTTTGTGCCTTCAATATATACGTAATTTCTCGATGGCATTCGTTGTTTATTAATATTTATGATTTGCAATTGCTGATTACCACTCGAACTATGCTTGTATGTATGTATACTGTTCATTTGGGATCTTACCTTTACTCTTCTTTCTGAACAACTTGATGTCTCCCTTGACAATACCTCACTTTTGGCCTTTATTTGAGCGTTAGCTCCTGTGAGGAAGGCTTTGGGTTCTATCCCCCGGACGAGACTTACCAGTGTCTGTAAAAAAAAAAATAGTTTCTACTCCTGCTTAACGCTCAGCGACTGGTTCGCCCGTTGTCAGTACAATATTTGAACGGATGGGGTGTCCTGCTGAGTGTCTTCGGCAGTATGCTTGAGTGAGGTAGCACTATAAAGTCGGCATCAGTTTCGCGCTATCACAAGGAGACAAACACGAGCATATCGCAGCCTCCCAAAACACCCACGCATACGCTTCACGCATGCATCTTGCACAAAGGGGAGGCCGTCCTTAAATGACCATAGCTGTTGATAGGACGTTAAACAATACTAAACAAAACAAAACCAATCTTTTTTTAATTAAACAACCTCATAAAAGTGGAATTCCTTTGTCTGTGGTAGAACAAGAGGGATGCTAAACCATTTCATATTTAAATGTTTACATATTCTTTGATTTATACGAAAATGGGGGAGGGGATAAGATATATGTCGATTCAAATTTCTGCACGGAATACTTCGTCCGTCGTCTTTATGGTTTTCTATGGAAACAATTGTCTTCGATTCAATCTCATTTTTGAAGTCGAGATACCCAACCAGTTTGCTGTTGTATACACAAGTACTTGAACGGCTCAAGACGCTCTAGCTCATTGTTTGTTTGGTTGTAGACATCCAGATTTGGTTGCCGTCCGTGACAAATTTGTCACTTATGATGTAAACAATTATACGATTGACTTGTATGTCACACTGGATAATTTAAACAGGCAGGAAAGTGTTGTGTTCTTTTCGGGCACCTTTCTGATGATATAAGGGAAATATTCCTGGAGTTGCAGTTTGAGTTAACCTTACAGTAAATATGTACTTACATGCATCTACATGACAATTTTGTACATTCTAATGGAATTAGTTTCAGTCATGTATAATTTTTCTTCTTCTTTTTCCCTGCTTCATGATCCTCTTCGTCCCAATTTACATTTTGGTTTCGTGTAATTAATATCTGTCATTTAACAAAAGGAACGGAGGACACATCGAAACAAAATTAAATAAACATTTTAACCCCACAAAAACGAACACAAAACTTGACAATACGATTGGGTAATTTTTTGGTACAATTTTTTTTAAAAAGCGTTATATTTTATTTTGTAGATATTTCATTAATGTTTTGTTTCTATATCATTATGTACCCTTTCTTTATGGAGGAATTAAGTTTTTAAAAAAAGGGATTCTTATTAAAATTCCAGTGTAGAGAACTGTTTTTGTTAGGAGATATGGCAAATTTGTTGTATAAAACACATACCCCATCGGAGTATCAAGTTTCGTTTTCGTTTTTTTAGGGTAATTGTTTTCTTTCTGTTTCGATGTGTCCTTCGTTCCCTTTTTTTATTGCCTTTTAGTTTAAATTTTGTTCTTACAAATTGACGATAAATTGCAATTTACTCGACGTCTTTGCAAAATTCTGCTAATTATGGCGACGTAGTCCTCTTGTAATGGAGCTTTGCAATTGCAAGCCTACAGGGCTAGTGTAATCGTACAGTAAACATTTTAAGTGCGCATTTGACAGTGGTGATGGACTATATCCCCTCTCTGGTTGTTTAACGATATCAATGGAAAGGAAATATATTTATGGTTATAACAGGGAACACTAACTTTTCTGCAAACAGTATATATGTGTAATTAGATAAAACGTGACATTAGATTTAATTTATCACTTTATAAAACTTGTTAGCTTTTTATTGTGGTTTTATTGTGTGTGGTGGAATATGTTTGAACAAGGGCTATCCAAAGATATATATGAGTCATCGTTAATTACTGTTGAAAACCAAATTTAAGGAGTGGTGAAACACATGTCTAGTTAATTCGATAAAGTTAAAACCCGGAAGATTGAAAAGTGTCCTTGGAATACCCAACATATCGATAAATTTGCAGACTGCATCTGGCAACTGAAAGAATATTAACCTGAATAATACCATGTTAATCCTTGCAAATGATAGGAACTACAAGTATTATGTACACTGAACTGTCGAAACTTTATCTTCTCTGTGTGGCGGGTCATGTTTGTTAAACTAAACCCGTTTAGCACACATTTACAATCCCTTAAGATGTATTTTTAATAATTACACATTCCATCAACATAGTTCGAGTTAAATACATAAATGAAGATGTTGGTTTATCAGATAAACGATTCCGGAATTTAACAACAACAGCAATACGTGAACGCCGTTCATCTCAGTGAAGAAGTGCTAGTGATCAGGCCAAATATATATATATATATGTTTCAGGTACCCTGACTAACCCTAGTTTTTACCTCTGACCCTCACAATGGTATCTCGCTTGAACGCACTCCATCCAGTATTGATAATATATAACTTGTTGTTGCGGGTATCAAAACCAAATTTAAATCCCATATCTTTATCTAAAACGACTTCAAAATATGTTTGGTGGTTTTTGTAATTTCTTAAATAAGCACCCTCCCTTCAAAAAGAAGAAAAATCAAATCAAAATGAATTCAGTCATATTACATGTACATGAATCATTCATAACTTTGTTTTGGCCTAACATAAGTGAACTACTTGAGAATACAGTACAAAGTTCGATGTGACTGACTTTGCTGAACATGTTCACGTTTACATTGACACTGTCTGTGTTGATATCCCATTGTGGTCTACAGTTGTCACTAAAAACATTTTTTTAAGGATCCCTGTGCCACTGTCAAAAACTGAAACCAAGTGTTGGAAACCAATTCTGCAGGGAGTTCACTCAATAGTCACCTCTTACGATACATGCAGTTGGTAACAGTAGGTGTATTATTTTCTCGGTCCCCGAGCGGGTCCAGGACAGGTCCTTGCTAGGGGAACAAGGGGGTGCATCAAGCAGTGTTTTTGTTTCATTTTTTTTCTGTTTGGACATTTGGTGGATTCACCTGCGCACGATGTTAGGATAGTTTGTAAAGGTACTACGAATGTTTTTAAAGCTTTTAAAGTAACCACGATTGATTTATAGTGCCTGTAGATAAGCCATGGATGTGTATCTATGCATGTAGTTTGTACATATCAAAATAACTGCGCATGTTTTATTTAGCTTGCTAGGTGATTGCGAATCTTTAATGCAGTTAAACCTCGTTATACTGCCACCATTTGTCAAGAGAAACTGTGGCGTTATAAAGGTGTATGGTGATAAATTGATGGAAATGTATAAAGAAATTCTAAAGAAAACAAAAAAGGGACATTGAAATTATGTTGGCTGTAAACGAGGTGGTTTATGAAACGAGTGGTATCATATCGAGGTTTTACTGTACAGTATATAGCTTGCAAAGTAACCGCATATATTTGACATACATATAGATACGCTTTGTAAAGTAACTGGTAAATGATTAATACAGTTTGTGGTGAAGTCTAAAATGTGTTTAGCAAGTTAAGCAGTCGTACAACCAACTGAGGATAATAATACATGAAATTTGAAATATCAAGGATGATAACGTTGTCAAAATCTCAAAAGATGTTTTGATGATATCGTGATATTACCAATATAAATGGTTGCCTAAGCGTGTATTCGTATCGTACAACCAGTACGAGGTCGTAGAAAAATATCAACATAACAACAAATGTCATGACCGGTAGCACAATGCTCCATGTTCCTGCTTTAAGATTGAAGAACCCTCTCCCACGACACTGCCGTTTTCCCAATATATAGTATCCAATACACTTTCCGTTTGGATATAACTGTAGCACACATTCGGTTTCAGCGATGGTATCCCGTTCTAATTCAGAACACGTTTGTTGATTATATTTGTTTATTTTTATCTCCATTATGTTTTCATAAAAGTCCCGCAAGGTATACTGTACTTTTCTTTTCAAAAATGATTTATCAAAGCTATAGTCATGCCAGAAAAAAAATGAGTACATAGTTTCATTTTTGGCATTGGTACCGGTATCTTAAATTAATGGTAGCGAAGTAAATATAAATATATATTTGGAGAAAATGGAAATTATAACAGGTTTTTCTTTCGTGTTACTTTTTGACATGGCATATCGGCAGGTGACTCAAGTCCGAAAAATGCCCCAAACCCAGACAAACTACACTGGAACTCTTTTTTGTTGGAGATATAACATGTGAAGCTGGGTCCATCTTCCTTAAACAGAGTTCCAATGTTTGTTATACATTGAATGAGACGAAGTGTTTGCGCAGGTTTTATTACGCACAAAAAATGCTTTGAAATTTGTAAACCCGTTATATATTATACCAATGCGTATTTTTAGGTATTTACTGGCGAATTTTGAGCTCCCTAACACCTCATGCATAGTTTATAACAACTACATAAGTCAATACGGGACGAGACACTTCACCCAACGGAAATCCGTCCCCTTCTAACACCAATCAGCGAGGGTGCTCTTATACTGTACACTCGATCTACCAAATCAAAGCTGTGTATAACATTTTATGTATGCATTCCATTCCGTCAGTCCAAAATGAATATCCTGATTGTTCTGTTGTGTTTTTCTTCAGCCTTGGGGTTCCCAAGTTTTCAGGACGAGATTCCTAATGGAGGAGAAGTACCACACCCATGTAAGGCTAATCATATCTGGAGGGGCGTCGGACATCTGAACCCGCTTGGAGGAGGTGACAGAAATCCTTTCGGTGCTGACTTCCAGAATGCTGGAGCTGTATGTATTATATGAACGAATGCATTGTTATATTTTCTGTGACTGTTGTTTTCCTCTGTCTTTCATGGGTGCTAAGACTGTAACCCTTATTTAGCGTCCGTAGATGTTCAATTACGTTTTTAATTGTATCGTCGGATATCATTCTGGAGGCAAAACAAAACAAAACAGTGTAATAAATATCCCAATATTTTATAGAGGGTGATAGGTTAATATAATGACAATCGGCCACGTTACTATCCCGATCACTGTGCACTTTTACTTGACCAGTCTCAACAATCGGTCAAGGAAGTCATTGGCTGTCGGGTAGACGAAAAACACAACGACGAGGAAATCGACTAAATATTATGACCCCTTTGTTGTTTTTGTTTTAAACATATTTTATTGAAATTTATATACAATGGGATTTGTAACAATTTGTATTAAGCACTTTACCTATAGTAAATTAATACAAAATTTTAAGATGACAGACAGACAAATAGTTATTCTTAGTATAACAATCTAGTCCGAAGTATGGTTTTATAACAAAACTGACTTTCGTATTGAATTATGTAATAAAACATCAGGGTATCTCGGGCCATGTGATTTTTCCTTCGAACAGAACAAGTGATAGTCTATTCACTTGTTCATCACATCCCGTGCCTTGTAGCTTTCTCCTGTGCATTCAATCATTGCTGGTACCTCCGTCTCCACTAGTCTTACTGGCCAGAGAAAGATCAAGCACATGGCCTTATTTTATTACATATATTATAGATTTACATTGTATACACTAGAACTCATTAATATTAGAGAGTCAGATTAAGAGAAAGACAGAGAGATGCTAGATTCGGTTTAGTTGGTGAACATGAAGGAGAACAAAAAATATACTAAATAATAATGCAAGGTCACGCCAGTGGCTTGTAGACTTTAACCCAAATAAATCTGAAACTATCCTCATAAGAAGGAAAATAAACCCTCCCAATCACACTCCCTTACTTAATATGAACCAAGTTCCAATAAATAACGTATCTTTCCATCAGCACCTCGGTGTCTTTTTCTCCTCAAACGTAGTTGGTCAGTTCATGTCAATTACATCATCTCTAAAACGTCACCTAAACTTAACATCAGGCGAACCTTAAAATTTCAGTTTGATAGAAATACTCTACAATCAATATATTTTTCATTTATAAGACCTCTACTTGAGTATAGAGAAATAGTGTGGCGGAACATACCGAATGAGTTGGGAAAGAAACTTGAAAACCTCAATATTGAAGCCGCTCGAATTGTAACAGGTGCAACTAAATTAGTAAGCATTGACAAACTTTTCAATGAATCAGCTCGGGTCAGTTTATTCGATCGGAGGCAAAATTATGAAATTATCAAGTTCCATAAAATGTTCTATCAATACACACCTGAATATTTATATAGCCTTATCCCATGTACTGTATCGGAAGGGCATCGATATGATACCAGAAACTCCGACCATGCCTTTATTACTCCAATATTGAGCAAAACTTCCTTTTATAAGCAGTCATTTCTACCTTCTGTTATAGACCAATGGAATAGTCTTCCACAAAATGTACGATCAAATCCGTCTACTTCTGCTTTAAAATCCTATCTTGCCAAGTAACATACTAAGAAAACGCCTACCTATTACAACGTTGGTACCCGCAAGGGCCAAATATATCACGCACAACTACGAATGGAGCGTAGCTCCTTAAATGGTCATTTATTTGCTAAAAATATTGCTCCATCTCCATTATGCATGTGTGGTGAAGTCGAAGAAAATAAACATTTTTTATTGGAATGTAACAGGTGCGATCAAATAAGAAGACGCTACCTACAATGTTTGCCCCATAATATTACTTTCGAGTTATTATTATTTGGAGATGATTCGATTTCATTTGCTGAAAATAAGTTAATATTTCTAGCTGTACAAAATTATATTCTTAAAACTTGCAGATTTTCTATAACTGAATAATATGACATGTAAACTTGTACAATATATATCTTACCCCAACCACCTAACTCTAAGGAAGTTTAAACTATTGTTTTTTCCATTAATTATTGGTATATACATATGCGTGTGTTGTGTGTATGAATGGTGTTATCATCACGTACTGGATATATTAGTTGCTGTTTAGTATACTTGGTGATAGGTTTACATAAGTGTCTGTGACACTTGTTGCTATTTCCCTTTGTCTTTTCTGTTCATTGTAATAACATGCTTGAACTGAAATAAAAGAAAGTTTAAACTAAGGAGTGCAAAAAATATACTCAAAATCTGTTAGTATTTAGAATAAATTGTTGCGCCAGTTTGGCTATTAGGATGTTTCCTTGGTATGACAATTCATTATTACCGTATAGTAGTAGCTGCAAGTAAAGTGGAATAAAATCATTTAATTCGCGGTAGAGTTTAATTCTCTGACCCGCATAATTATTACAAATTAAAAAGAAGTGATATGTATCTTCGATAGGATGGCCACATTCACAATGTTGAAAATCTTTTAAATTAGCATGAAATAAGTAATTGTTTAGGGTACTAGAGTTATTTCTCAATCTGGTGTGTAACATATTACTTTTTCGGTCACCAATAAGATAATATATAGGGACTTGTACTGTATTTGGCTGACGAAGAGGATCTTTAAAAACTTATATGAAACGCTGTGTCTTATATCAAGGTTTTACTGGTTCAAGAATTGGATTGTGGAAGGGGAAACAGCTTTGTTAATTGGAGTCCTGGAATAGGTAAACAGTAATTTTCAGCAATACGGAGGTTATAGTGTGTGTTTTCTGAAACTGTAGGAGGAAGTAAAGATGTAAGATAGTTTGGTATAAGATTCTTATGAATTTTGTAAATAAGTTGTAATTTCCGTCTAGTTCTACGTTCAGTTCAAGTTTCTAGACCAGTTTCAAAACACAATGATTCTCTACTTGAGAAAGGCGGTAACCCGGTGATAACCCTTGCAGCTATCAGTTCATGTTTTTTCTAATATGTCTGCACCCATTCCTCACAACAGTATTCTAATAGAGGAAGAATAAATGATCTAAACATTTTATTTAAAATTATTTATTCAAATAATGTTTCGTAAACCACTTAACTGCTTCGATACCTTCATACAAATATTTTCAATAAGGGTACTCCACTTACAATTTTCGTCCAAAAGTAGTCACATGTGCCTATGATTGTCAACAAAATCAAAACTTACATTATTCAATTTTAAATAGATAACATACTCAAGTTCAAAGTTAGAGATCAGTAAAGCTTTCGTTTTTGCAGGGTTGAATTTCACCAGCCAAATATCCGCCCAATTTTGATTTTTTTCCAGGTCATTATTAATCTTGGTTTCAATATTCTGGGGAGATGCACCAGAATATAATAAAGACGTCAGCAAATAATTGAGACAAGCTTTCAAGATTATCATATGTATCATGAATATATACATGTAAACTAAAAAATAAAGGGCCTAGTACTGAGCCTTGAAGGACTCTAGCATTAATATATTTAATAGAAGACTTATCATTACCAATAAAAACTTGCTGTCGTCTATTACTAAAATTACTACTTACCCAGTCTAATAACTTTCCCGTTATACCATAGCTAGCTAGTTTCACTTTCAGTCCCTTGTTCCACACACGATTGAATGCTTTAGATATATCACAAAAACTGAACAGGTAGGATGCTTTTTTTTCTAAATTTTCGCATAATGTGTGATAAATTTCTATCACTTGATGAACTGTAGAGTGACCAGGTTGGATTCCAGATCAGAATTTATGTACTAATGAATTATCTAACATATAGTTATTTAATTTTTTTACAATCAATCGATCAAAAACTTTACCAACAGTGCTAAGTAATGATATTGGTCTATAATTTGGAGAATCATGTTTATCCCCCTTTTTAAATAAAGGCACCACTACAGCTTGTTTCCACTGGTTTGGAAAGATACCAGTATCCATAGAAGATCTAAATATAAGGGATAGAGGGAGAGCTACTGAACTTGCTATATTTTTTCAACATATAGTGGCTAATGGTGTCGCTACCCACAGCTTAACTAATATTTAAAGATGTTAAAATGTCTATAATGTCATTCATGCGAAACGGTACAGTTATTAATGGTACGGTAGCTGTATGTAAGTGGAGTCAGTCCGAAGTTCTACTGTCGGTACGTCAATGTTAGTATCATCGATTGTCGAGATGGAAACAAAGTAATCATTTAGGATGTGAGCTTTGATGTCGTTTGCCATTTCTATTTTCCTGTTTTATTTCTAAGAGGAGTCATACTATTGGAATAATCTGAAGTTATTATGCGGACAATTTTCCAAACATTTCTAGGGTTCGAATCAGAGTATTGATATAAAATACGTTTAATGTCCGCGTAAAAAAAGTTCTCTTAATAGTAATTCTTTTTAAACTTTCCATAAAACGAGGCTTACGGATTTCTTCGTATTTGGGATCAACAACGTCAGTGATAGTATGAACAGATTCTGCATTGGACACCGATTCAGGATTTAAGTCCACGACGGTATAATACCATTACCATATTTACCTTTGGCTATTGTTGTTTTGAGATTTGATAGTAATATTTAGTTAACTATCTTCTTTAAGGCAATTATTATTTGCTTTTTCGTGTTTTGGAGACTAGTAATAACTTCTTTCAGATTTTTTTCCCTTTTTGGTGTGACCTTTAGTTCATTTTAGAACATAGTACTCATTTTACAGTAAGGACTGTCTGCTAACTTAGCTTCAAATAAATAAGAGTTTGTTGTTAGTATATATTGATTAACACTGAATTGGAACCATTGCAAATTTGTACATTTTGTTACAGAAAAAGGGAGTCTGAAAATCATCTTCCTATCACTTCATTAATTTCAGATTGTTCATACCCTTTTTTTTTATTATTCCATTGGCGATTAAATCAATTTTTACTAAGCACATTATAAAAATGTTTTGTGCCTTTCTGTATTTTAGTAAATATTTGTAAATTTCTTGGAATAAATTAATAGTCTATTTCTGGATGAGTCATGTCACACCATCTGCAAAGCTCCCTTCAGAATAGGGAATTTGCGTTTGTGCCTTCTACTTTGGGACACAAAAGTATCAAAAGTATGGTATTTCAATGAAATAGCAGTATAAAGTCAACATCAGATCCGCTCTATTACAAGGAGTCTTAATATTTCTACTTTAGTACATTTCGATATTTCCATGCAAGAAAGACATCTTTCCAGAAGAGATTTTTACAATTATTATGAAAAACGGAAATATACTCTGATCCACAATGAACGATAAGGTTTTTATCATAGTTAATTAAAAATAATTTGTCGTGTTCCTATTATTGAAAATAATCTTCGAATCAAAGACAATCTTAATAAAGAATTATATTACTAATTGGATGTTAAACGAAAAATTATCAGTTGTGAATGGTGATAAAAATGTACAAAGACATCAAGAACTATTTTCGTATTTGGAAAATATTGAAATAGGTGTAAATATAATAAGGAAAAACGTCATTTAACAGACCCATGTGTAAAGGCACGTTTATATTTTCTTAGACATGGACAACGGCCTTGTGTGAGATGGACTCTGACGAGGACGGGCAGACTAACGGGGAGGAGCTGGGGGACCCAGAATGTGTCTGGGCTAAAGGCGATACCCCAGCGGTCACAGTCGGTATCAGTCACCCTGGGGTGTGTACTCCTTACTCCGATCCCTCGTGCCAGGTGGCTAACCAATGGATTGACTGCGATGTCAGACAGCTCCAATGTGACGCTCTAAGTGAAGAAGGTATGTACTACTAATTGGTCTACCCGTGTTATTGTTAAATGCTGATTTCTATTTCATTAAAAATTAATTTTGACATGTAAACGACAGGTGTCTCAGGAGACATAAAAAGTGAAAATACTGAAGAATATTCGTAGAAAACAAGCAAGACGAGCAGAATCCTTAATGTCGCACTTGTTCGTTAAGGATACCTGGCCCACTGCGCCGTGGTTTTTCGTATACACAGTAGCCTCCCATTTATTTCGCTTTAAATATAACCGTAGTACAGTTTTCCCGTGACAAAGTCGTTGGACTAGGTAGCTCAGTCGGTTAAGAGTGACAGTATAACAATCGGAAGACCAAGGTTCGAATCATGTAGTAGCCATGTTTGTTTTTCTAAAGAGAATAATATTGTTGATTAGTTTTGATTATGTCATCTTCATTATGTTTTCCAAAAGGTATTCTTTTCCTTTGAAAAATGATTTATCAAAGTTATAGTTATTCCGGAAAAATAAGTTTCGAATGCATATTTTAATTTTTGTCACTGGTACGGGGATCCTTAATATTGATTTTAAATATGCTGAAAACGGTATATATATACAAAGGGGTCTTTTGAGCTCATCTCGTTATTCCTTTTTAATCCTAAAAACATGTATGTCAAATACATGTTACCCAAATGAGTACGATATATATATATTGCTAACAGACCAACACATTTCAATGAGTGTTTTTAGATACGCCCTTTTTAGACCGGCCAGATTTCCCAACAGTACTGTTGGTATACCTTTTTCTGTAAACGCTGTTAAAGCCCCTTTCCCAGTGATCCATTTAACCGAACTTTACCAAAATACCAAATGAGATTGAATTAATTTGACATCAAAATTGTACTCCACAATACGATATAAACATCTCGACAGATTTTGAAGGGAGCTTTGCAGTAATGATTTAAACGGATAATCATGTCGATTCTTTCAGTATTCTTTCATATTTTCATTAATTTCGAGTTAAAATTACGGTTTTATGTACAATTATTCGCTTAGTCTAACAATGCGCAAATGAAAAGGCGATTTTGTAGCTGCGCAAAGAAGATAGTTGTGGTCATCAAGGTTTCAACCAACAGAATCTACCATCTTGTATCCTGACAGATGAAACTAACGTATAGATAAGACTAAGTAATACATCTCCAGCACACACGCAGGCATACACACATAGGGAGATATTAGCCAGGTGGCATAGGACTAGTAGTTAGCGCCTGATAAGGCAGCTCCTGCGAATTCCTCAATATTGTATTGATTAATATATATGCTAATTGTATTGACTGTAAAACATTGTATATCTATGTACTGTAAAGCGCTTTAGAGTGGCTTATGTTAGCTAGATAGGGCGCTATATCAAATGTTGTATATTATTAATATTATTATTATTATTATTATGATATATCTATATTATTTCTATTTTCAGGAATGCAAAACATAACTGTACGTTTTCCTATGACGGCGGTGCCCGCTAACGAGACGAACTATTACTGCATGCTGTTTGAACTACCGACAGATGAGGACTACCACATGGTCGCTACCACTCCTTACATAGATAACGAGGAGGTCATGCATCACATTATATTATTCGGCTGTGACGAAACAGGTAGGGGGATCTGTTGTTTAGGCGTGGCACACATGGTACATGGATCTGTTGTTTAGGCGTGGCAAACATGGTACATGTATCTGTTGTTTAGGCGTGGCACACAAGGTATATATATATGTTGTTTAGACGTGGCACACAATGTACATGTATCTGTTGTTTTGTAAAATAATTAATTGTTGATAATGTTATTAAAATCAGTTTACATGTAAGTTTTATTCAGATTCCTATATAGAATACATTATATATTTTCAGATCCATTCATGCATATGAGACAAGGTTGAGGGTGTCTTGTAAAATACCTTCACATCTCATTAGCTACAGAAAACATACAATAAACTAATTAGTCTGTTCATAGACTTTATCACCGAAATACATGGCTGGTTCGCTTAATATATCCTAGTCACACATATTCTAAAACTGCAGTCAAAGAGACAACGTTAAAATATACAAATTTTAAGAAACATGATTTAATTCCATTACTTATTTAAATGTAATTGTGTGTAGATAGCCCGATCACTGACGTTCCTGTGAACGTCCCTCGACCCTGTGGTATGATAGCACATCGACAATGTACGACGATGATTGGAATTTGGGCAGTGGGGTTCAGCGGCGAATGTGTGCACAGGGATATCGGCTTCAGAATAGGACGGAATGGCTTCAAAAAGGCAGCGTTCCAGGTAAGTAGATGAAACGTTCACGATTCTAGAAAGAGGAAGGTAAAGGAATACTGTGAACACAATAGACTTGCACAGGTGGTGAATATCTATTTTATTCTACGAAATGGCAGTTTTCACGTTTTGTATAGAAAATAAAAATGCATGTATTGTCGACTGTGTGTTTTTAGCTATTGTAAAATAGGTACTATATCTAGAAACAGTCGTTGTCATATTGAATTTCTTGATCAATTTTTGTTTGGCGATACTAACACATGCAAAAAATCTCAACAACAACAACAACAACAACAACAGAAACGAACAAACAAACGAGCAAGCAATATCAGAACGAGGCAACACCCTTTCCAAATACCGTACTAGCTGTCACGCAATGAAATCCCAGGTACACACATAACGCAAGATATTATACGATAATGTAAGTAAATGGTGGTTTCATGAAGCGTCCTATTTACTATAACACAATTACTGTGCATTCGTTGTTTTCTATATCATAGTGAGTCATGGAATCCGGTTTGAACGATCGGTCCGGATGTTGTAACTTATAATGTCAACAGGCTAAGTCGCGATATCTGGCCCATTGTATATAAATACTTGAGTTCAGATTAGTATTGGTTTTTCACCACAGCCACTGACGAAACACTTCTATACTTGTAAAACTCGCTTTCATCGTGACTGAACAAAACGCAATGATTTCTCATGGGTTTTTTCTCTCTACCATACCCTCTTTCAATCACTCACCAATATCAATCTATAAATATGGCTAATCAGTCCTGCCCCTGCAGGTCGGAGATTTGGAAAAGAATACACCTACTGCTACTCACTGCATGTATCGTAAGAGGCGACTTATTTGGGAACCCCCTGCAGACTACGGGATTGAGTTTTGTGCCCTGTAATTTGGCACAAAAAAACAGCGACAAAAATCAATCTGCTTGGCAATACTTCACTTTTGGCTCTAGTGTTGAACGTTTGCCCAGGTGAGGAATGCAATCGGTTCTGTCCCCAGGCCGGGACATACCAAACTCCTTAAAAAGGGTAGTTGTTATACCCTTCTTAACTTTCAGCATTTAGGGGAATGACAACAACTGGTTCACCCGTTGTCAGTATAGTGTGACCGGGCGGAATGCTGTGCACGGTGCGTTAGGCATGGTATTTCAGTGAGATAGCACTCTAAAGTTGGCATCAGGTCAGTGCTGTCACAAGGAGGCAACTACACCAACATACACACATACACACATATACAATACACATGGAGGCACCTCCTTAAATGTTCCTCCTTAGCTGTTGATAGGACGATAATCCCTGTACAACCAGCAACCAAATGCTACATACATGTTATCATGAAAATACTGATATCAACAACATAATTTTGTTTACACTTTACGGTTTGGATATACAATATATGCTTTTAACTTTTAACAAAGTCAAACGATAACTCGGAAATATTAAGTGTACACCAATGTCTGCTAGGTACTGCATTATTCTCTTTTTTCACCTCTTAGCACTAATTGATGAGAAAATCGAAAGGAGGTTGTCCGATCGGTTTATTTAAAAAGTTCCGAATACGGGATCAGTAGTTAGCAGCTGCTTTCGGGCTATACAAATCCGTATTACCTGCTCAGGTTAAGGAACACATTGTTGTATCCGTTGTTATGTATTACTGCTTGGCTGTGTGAAAATGTGTAACGAAAGCGTCTGTCTTCTTCAATCTTTATTACAGAAGTCCCCGAATTCACCTCCTTTAGGAGAGTTCCTAAAAACAGTTACAAACTTATCTCCCTTCGACCATACATGGCATTGTCTCTCTCACCCATCACATACCATACATACAACACCGTATTTTGTATTTGATAAAAACGGTATTCATTAGCAAGTGCACTGCATGTAATAAAATATAAATATACTATCTCTTCATAGTTTAACAGAGTATTTCCTTTAAATCTAGTTCCATTGGAACAACCCCATGCTTCGTACCGATTTCATGGACAGTTCCGGAATGACACTGTATTTCACGGCAAATCGTCGCGTGCACGACGCCAACATCATGATGATTGGTCAGAATTACCTTGCAATCCCTCCAGGAGAGACGGAATACACAGCCGAAGCCACGTGCACAAAGGGCTGCACGTCAAAGAAGTGGTCCGATACCGTCTACGTTACCAGGGCGCTCAACCACATGCACTATATGGGTAGGACAGATTTATTTATCGAATTGTATACAAGTGTTAGAAAATAATAATATTCATACATAATAATAGATATCATCATAAAGAAAATGAACAAAAAAGTGGGAAAGTCTGTTTCTAATGGAATATAGAAGTAAATACGAAAACAAACACATCACCGTACTTGTAAGCGTCGACACGACACGACAAGTTCGGAAATCGCACTTATTCCAAGCTTCAGTGTGACACAGAGCATAAGCTTATGGTACTGTACCATCTAAGTATACAATAATACATGAAATACTTAAAGGGAGGGAACTTCTTAAAATGACATATTTTGGATTCGTTTTCAGCATCATAATTTCAAAAGTATTCAACGAAAATATGCAATATATTCACCATCCTGAAAAAAAAAATTCTTTCTGATTGGCTAGCTAGTCGCAGACATTAAAAACTAGGAATTCACCGCTCTGCATCTACAGTAAAATACACATGCCACACCGCAATTAGCATAACATTTCACAAAACTGGTCGTTTACGTTGGTTTCTGTCAACAGAGGGCTGACATTTCCTGTCCGACTAACGGTAATTTAAAAATTGGAAACTGATGCATAGCTCATTTTCAAGAATAAAATGTCTTTGAGGTGGTGTTTGCATTGTATGTATTCCTTGATAATTTCAAAATTAAGATGCAAAAGACAAATTTACTTAACGCAGGGAGATTGTAAGTGGATACAAAGCTGTATATAATGGTTGAAAGTGAACATTTAGTGAATGTAGCGCGCAAATGTTTTATTGTTTAAATTATATAAACAAAATAGTGAATCAAAAACATTGTCTTTAACCAGGTAAAATGTTATCCTTACAAGTGTATATATTTAATCCTACAAGTACATTCAAATGTTAGGATTACTAAGGTCTGTTAGCTTGTGAACGGAAAGGTCCTCATTTCTTGTCTTTTTTTTCAGGGCGTAAGCAGAGAATTGAACACTACAGGGACGGAGTAAAACTACGGGACGTGACCTACGACGAACTGTATAGCTACGACAGTCCGGTCCTTTACGAGTAAGTGAATTGAGAATACCGTGTGTAACAGCAACGGCAAGGGTCTTATGGCGACGGGTGCCTAGGGGACACCGCCTGTTGCAACGGGAACAGCAGATCAATTCTGGTTTCTTCCATGTTCCGTTCGTTGACAAACAATGTAAAAAACAACCCGATTCTTTAGGGAGAGCCCACATTAGTCACCTTTTTCAATGTCCCCTAAACAGAAAACAAGAAAAAGAAACCACCCCCGATTCTGCAGGGGGGGGGCACTTTAGCCGATCATATAATGGGATCGGTAGGCGTATTCTTTCCTCGAACCTGAACGGGTTGATAACGTAAGTAAAAGACTGACGTCTAATTAATCATTCAAGTACAGTCGAATTAATGTTACCGTCTTAAGGTTCCATTGAAATGTTCAAGTCCTATATACCATCTGATTTATCGTCAAATGTTAATAGTCTTAAGTCTCTAGTTTTATCATAAAAATCACCTTGATTGTCTTTAGGTTTGGGATAAAGCACTTGAATACAAATGTAGCACAGACACTTTCGTTGACCAGGTAGCTTAATCGCTATAAATAGCGATTGTATAACAATCTGAAGTCCAGAGTTCGAACCCCGGTCTAGCCCTGCTCAATTTTTAACACCCGGAACACTGCTGTTGATTATGTTTTGTTTATTTCATCTTAATTATTTCTCATAAAAGTCCCGTAAGTTATATTTTCCCCCAGAAATGATAGATCAAAGCTGTAATCGTGCCGGATAAAAACAGTGTCCTCCTATACTTTGTTACAGTGTATTGGTACATTTGTAATGGTACGGTGCCGTTAAAAATGCTTTAGGATAAAATCCAACTTTATAAACAATATTCAGTGAGGTCATATTCAAATTTTCTTACCGAATAATGCGTTGTGATCTTGTTTTGTACTTTGGTTCCTTTGTGACGGCGGTCGGTTTCCATACGTCAAGTTTAAAATTATTTCTCATTGAAGCAATTCTTCTTTGATGTTAATATAACGCCAATAAACGGGATTGCTGTTATTTTCTTTTAAATATCAACAGCAAAACGTTCATTAAAATGAACATAGTAGCAAACATTACATAAAGTCTTCCAATATTTTACTTTAGAAAATTCTCTTATTAACGTTGAAGACTTTAATAAGACTTTAAATATAAATCGTCTTTCACAGATTCCAGGATCCAATTGAGTTGCGACCAGGGGATGAACTGAAGACCACATGTACATACAGGTCTATCGGCAAAGACAAGACTACATTTCAAGGGGACGGAACTGCCGATGAAATGTGTTTCGGATTCCTTACCTTCCACCCTGCTGAAAACATTCAGATGCCGTATTGCACTGCCTGGAAGGGAATAGATCTTTGTAAGATTCATAGTTTAAAACAAGATTTTCCAGTTGTCGATGGCTGCAACGTTCATGCTCTCCTGAACAACACGCATCCGGACACTATTCGTTTGGATACCGAACTCTTTAGTCGTTGTACACCCTTTCAATCGTGCCGAAAGGAATGCAAAGAGTTCCTCAAAGAAGAGCTACGCCGTAACAAATGCATCCAGGGAGATCTTGCAGACTACTTCCGGCTATATGCGACACGTTCTCGGGACAATATGTTATTCTGGGCAGCAATTGATTCTTGTAAAGCCGAGATTGCAGCGGACGCGTTTCAATGTGACGCTTCTAAATGTAATAACTCGAGTAGTGTTTGCGAAATAGTCGGGGGTGTTGGTAGTGTCGCAGCCTCAATGACTGTCGTGAGTTTCTCTCTTCTCATCAATCTGTTGATGAAAATATAGGCTATTAACTGGTGAATTGTCTCTCATATCGCCAGCTGAGCTTCATAGTTTGACTACTTATCATTTGAAAAAAATGCTATCTTTTCGCAGTTTGTTTTGCCTGTCTTAATTTCCCGTTAAGATAATGTCGTGGTGTCAATAAAACCATAATTCGAACTCGAAATCGGTAAAACTATTAAAAACTATATCAAAGCCAATATCTACATGGAGAAGATTGAAAACAAAAACAAGGAAAATACGACCAGGCGGTCCGGAAGGTCAAACGTCTTCTGCTTCATTGGCGATAGTGGCGTGTAAAGTAATATCACTTCCTCAACGCCAGAACACATGAAGTCACATAACAAAACAATAAAACACACTTATGAACAAAAACAAACTGTTCCTCATATCACACAAGGAAATATAACACCTTCTTATTAGATCATATTTGAGACCATAAACTATTTCCGTAGTCCTTATTAATCGGTAACTTTGGAAAACCTTTAATTGTAAGGTTGTCCTTCAGCAGTCAACATCTTACGAATCCATTTCGATATATTTTCATTCGCTCCCATTGAAGCTGTGTAAACCGTGACTGCGTATAAATTACCGTATACGCAGTGAGATTCCTTGAAGACCATTGTTTCCAATTGATGACGTAATTTACATTGTGACGTCATAATGGTAACATTGGAGATCCATTGCTGCTCGCAGGCTGTAGGCTGTTCATTTGTTTTGATTTACGCACGTTACGGAGGTTTTGTACCATTATAAAAGCAAATGTATTGGAGTTGGCTTTATTCTGAGTGTGCCATCATAGTAGGAAAATATGTAAATATAAGAACTGATCTTCAGTTTGACTGCGTATACGGTAGTATGAACGCAGTTGGCAACGAACATATTCTATGGAGCTATGGAGCGCTGTTACGCGCTCCATAAATACTATGTTCGTTGCCAACTGCGTTCATACTACCGTATACGCAGTCAAAATGAAGGTCAATCCTAAAATGTAAACATTGTAGTTGGGGAACTATCGTACAGCTTAGTTAGTGGAGTTATGAAAAATAGGTACTGAATTTCTAGCAAGGGCATTGTATCACGTTGCTTCGAAACAGTACCTGTGTGTCTTCGGAGTCGAAGAATTTGTTGAAAAAGTGATGAATGTGGCGAAACTTGCCTGAAGCGATCGCTGGTGACTAGGCAGCTCATTCGGTTTCTCAAATTCGAATTCTAGTCTGCCCGTTGTATATACAATTTTATCATATGAATACCGTGTTATGCAGTGTCATGAAGCCATCACATAAATTATGTTTATGAAACGTGGGTAATATCACTCCGAAAATGACGTCACAATCGAATAGGAACAATCAATGTGACGTCACGTCATCGTGAAGCGCAAATTTCATCGTTTCAGAGGCGGTCAAGTGCAAAATATTCGTTCAGATCACAATTATACAGTTTACTTTGAATAATATGATAAAAATAATCTGTCATTCGTTTCCCTTCATATTAGATTGATGATACTCGTTTTGGATTTTTCATATTTGCTAGCTAGAGGCTCGCAAGCATGAAAAACATGTTTCATAATCTAATATGAAGGGAAACTTATGGCTGGTCCTCTATTTCTGTTACATTTTGTAGCAGTAAGGCGATTGTTTACAACGCCTATCCGTTTGATATAACAAAAGTTTCGAAGTCCATTTCACCTTTAACAAATATTCTATCTCATCATTTTGGTATGACCAGTGAATATTCTACCACGCTTGCGAGGTAACGACCATTTTCATTGCTTAATAACAATGGATTAATGGACGGTAGACCATGCCCGTGCGAGCATTACTTTCCAGCAGACCAACGGTCTTCCCTTACAAAACCATCAATCTCAAATGCTACTGGTTTCATTTTAGGGTACCTGCTATTCATTTTTTATGTATTTGAAGATTTTCCAGGGGACACAGAATAAGAATCTATTTAACCTCGGGATCTACTTAAAACCTGTCAAGCGCTCAAGTTGATTTCACGTTTTGACGAGCTATGTCGATAGATTGGTGGATTTGATGGATTGAAATAAACATCTGGTATAAAGCATAACGTCAGTGTTGATTGTTTATCGTCTGTTGACTGAATGGTAACTAAACATGTGATATCCTTCCCAAATATATCAAGGTTAAATAGACGAATTTGGAAAACTGCCCACAGAGTCAGAAATTTATTAGAAAACCGCGCAGCTTGTAAAATATAGGCATCACGTGACAAATATTAGCGTGTGCAAATTAACAGCATACTTTTAATAATCAGATAATCTAGGTCAACTTGCTTATCAAAGGCGTGGGGACACTGAGGAAAACAGCAACAAGGCTTTCTCTACATTTTACTTGGTAGAATAGATATAATCACTATATGTTTATATATTATGGTGGAATATATAACTCGAAAATGTTGGAAAAGCAATTAACGAACGCCGCTTGCTCACACATTGACTATTTCTTGAATAAATGCTAAGTTTGTTTTGAAGACAAACAGTAATTGAAAACTTATTTTGCGAGCTAAGAAGGCGGAATGGGTAAACATATTACCCCTCCCCCTGACTGCCTGTAGTATAATAGAACTATATGGCGAAATGTCTCGATAGATTATGACAGGGGACGTTACTGACTAGTGATTTATTGTCAGCGGTTTAGAGTAGAGACATCAGTCACAGGGTCATTTACTCACTTTGCTTGACAAAGGAAACAGACGTTTTCGAAAACTCTCAAAACAAGTTTTCAATTACTTTTTGTGTTCAAAACCAACTTGGCAGTTATTATTTGATACACTAATATGGTTATCATTTTTTAAGGTTGACTGTTCGCAAACTATTAAGTAACAATATAAAAAGGGTTGTCAACGTTTAACCGGTCATTTGGTCGGAAGACCACGAACCGGTTACCAAAATCCATATTCTAATAGTCGGACATTACTACCCGTTTGGTGAGCCCCATGACATAAAACATATAACGTATTGTCGTTATGTATTGTTTGATTACTAAACTGACCGATTAAACGGTTACTCGATGCGAACATTGTTCTAGTAAGCGCTTATCAAAATGACCGGTTTGGCAAACAAACCAACAATATATATATGTATATAGGATAATATTTGAGTTAAGCTGACGGAGCCTGGACCCTTCTAGTTAAGCTGACGAAGCCTTGACCCTACTCGTTAAGCTGACGGAGCCTGGACCCTACTCGTTAGGCTGACGGAGCCTGGACCCTACTCGTTAAGCTGACGGAGCCTGGACCCTACTCGTTAAGCTGACGGAGCCTGGGCCCTACTCGTTAGGCTGACGGAGCCTTGACCCTACTCGTTAAGCTGACGGAGCCTGGACCCTACTCGTTAAGCTGACGGAGCATTAACCCTACTCGTTAGGCTGACGGAGCGTGGGACCTACTCGTTAAGCTGACGGAGCCTGGACCCTACTCGTTAGGCTGACGGAGCCTGTGCCCTACTCGTTAGGCTGACGGAGCCTGGACCCTACTCGTTAAGCTGACTGAGCCTGGACCCTACTCGTTAGGCTGACGAAGCCTGGACCCTACTCGTTAAGCTGACGGAGCCTGGACCCTACTCGTTCTCTAGATGTGTCTGTCCGGTTAAGGATTCCTGTACCACTGTCAAAACAAATAAGGAAAAATAATAACGATGGGGAAACATGATAAGCAACAGTGCTTTAGTGTAAAAATCCAATGGGGGAAGACCAGGATTGGAACCTGGTTCAGTTCCGCCATTCCCTCTAAGCTACGTGGTCAACGGTAGTTACCCGCCCAAATCGTACAACAATCGTGTTCAACCCTTAATTTAGAGAATGTTACTCTACACACGAAAAGTGGAACTAGCGATCCTTAAAAATAATTTATTGGACGGGCTAGTACAGCATATGGATATTTGTCTTATTGTTGTGTTTGTGAAGGAGAGGAGGGAAGAATCTGTGTGAGCTTCACTGAACAACTGCTTAAATGGAATCTTTGAACGGAAAAGTTGCCATCATTACAGGTATATGTTGCTAAAAGTAGCTGAAATTCGAGTCGTCTCGGTTGGGTATAACCATATCTTTGAGCAGATGTGTAGCTTTTAATTTTAAATGTAGTGTAAGGGATTTCATAAGTATACCTGTCGCCTGGTTTTATTGAATTTGTATGCGGTACATGTAACACTATATATGCGTGTACACAGGTAACCAGCTAGGACACAATCACACGTTATATAGCACTAACTACGTGTTGAGATAACACACTTCCAGTTACATAGACTTCGTCTCAGGTTTCCCATTTCCACTCTATAATCCACGAATAGTTCAACTTATACGAAATGACAACAAACAAACATAGAGGCTGCTGGCCTAAGTTATGTTTCTGTTGCACGTTTTTGTATGATGTCTTCTATTGGTTTTGCTGCTGGATATGTTTCAGGTGCTGCGTATTTTGTGGTCGACTTTTCATGAATGACATAATGGCTGTGGGGTATACTTTTAACACCATACGTTCTTTTTTTAGAACTGATAAAACATTATGGTGTAGTAAACTTGGAGTTCTCGTTCTATCAAATGACCTACGCCCCAGATCTGGTTTTAGAGCGATAACATGCACGTTAAACATTCTGTCATACGACTCACATGCAGCTAGTACGATCAATCATTTGTGTACCATGTGTGGTACATAACGATAAGAAACGAAATTTTGAAAAACAATCTTATACTTTCACATGTTTCTGTACTTACAGCCGACAACATCCGGTATAATGATATGAAAACTCGTCACTTTCATTTCATTCTGTATCATAAATAGTAACAGAATGGATGGTACAAAAAGATATGATAGCATTGGAATGCCGATATCAGACACCGTCACCAGATATGACCCACGGTTATAAAATACCTGATCACAATGCCGAAACAGCATTCGACGTTTGTATATTTTCGAAATTTCTTCTGTATCTTGTTGTTGATTATATGTTTATAAAAGAACCGTTAGATAATCAAAATTAAAACGCCTAATAGTATAATCAGCTGATCATCCTCCATATTCCAGGGGTTACGCTTACTTACGCTCTCTACACCCCTGGAATATGTCATAGCAAAATCGAAGGCTCATTGTGCGCCACCTTGATGATGAGACTATAAGACTAGTTCGATCCTTTGATATACATCAAAAGAATCTCGCAGTCACTTAACGGTACAAAATGACATGCTTTGAAGTCGGGCGTCTCTCCTTTGTAATCGATTGGTCAGCATTTTTTTTCCTGAGACCAATCAAACAGCTATTTCCGTGCCTTACAATTTTGCCATGACATATTCCACGGGTGTAGAGAGCGAAAGTCAATGTAACCCCTGGAGTATCGAGGATGCGAGTTGATAGGACTTTTGAGTTAATGATGATTTTCTCATTTGGCGAGTGAAGGCACAAGGATGTTAGTATATTGGATAAAATCGGTTGTAACGATTTCCTTTTTTTGTTGTAGAAGCGCCCAACATAACTTTGTAACTGATATTAATTGAATAGTTTCTGTCAATTCATTTAACCGCTATGATTGCCGCTGATGCTGGGTGCAATGAGACTAGATTAAACTCACACTCAATGAGATTAATATCGTGTACGTGATGACAGCCTTATCAAACGGTAATTTGTCACTGGATAATATTTCAGTTTCATGTTTCTGTACCATTGCTCATTTCGGCCGTTGTATTGGTACAGAAACATACAAAAACAAGGTTTGATAACAACTTTCCTTTCATGTCATTATGTATCAACCATGGTACACAATGATGTGATTGTTCGTATCATTGTGTAGCAAAGAAAGTGTAGCAAATGGCGTAGGTCATTTGATAGGACGAGAACTCCAAGTTTACTACACCATAATGTTTTATCAGTTCTAAAAAAAGAACGTATGGTGTTAAAAGTATACCCCACAGCCATTATGTCATTCATGAAAAGTCGACCACAAAATACGCAGCACCTGAAACATATCCAGCAGCAAAACCAATAGAAGACATCATACAAAAACGTGCAACAGAAACATAACTTAGGCCAGCAGCCTCTGTGTTTGTTTGTTGTCATTTCGTATAAGTTGAACTATTCGTGGATTATACAGTGGAAATGGGAAAAGACGACTCGAATTTTAGCTACTTTTAGCAACACATACCTGTAATGATGGCAACTTTTCCGTTCAAAGATTCCATTTAAGCAGTTGTTCAGTGAAGCTCACACAGATTCTTCTCTCCTCTCCTTCACAAACACAACAATAAGACAAATATCCATATGCTGTACTAGCCCGTGCGCCCTTCGAGTCCAATAAATTATTTTTAAGGATCGCTAGTTCCACTTTTCGTGTGTAGAGTAACATTCTCTAAATTAAGGGTTGAACACGATTGTTGTACGATTTGGGCGGGTAACTACCGTTGACCACGTAGCTTAGAGGGAATGGCGGAACTGGACCAGGTTCCAATCCTGGTCTTCCCCCATTGGATTTTAACACTAAAGCACTGTTGCTTATCATGTTTCCCCATCGTTATTATTTTTCCTTATTTGTTTTGACAGTGGTACAGGAATCCTTAACCGGACAGACACATCTAGAGAACGAGTAGGGTCCAGGCTCCGTCAGCTTAAAGAGTAGGTCCCAGGCTCCGTCAGCCTAACGAGTAGGGTCCAGGCTCCCTCAGCTTAACGAGTAGGGTCCAGGCTCCGTCAGCCTAACGAGTAGGGTCCAGGCTCAGTCAGCTTAACGAGTAGGGTCCAGGCTCCGTCAGCTTAACGAGTAGGGTCCAGGCTCCGTCAGCCTAACGAGTAGGGTCCAGGCTCAGTCAGCTTAACGAGTAGGGTCCAGGCTCCGTCAGCTTAACGAGTAGGGTCCAGGCTCCGTCAGCCTAACGAGTAGGGTCCAGGCTCCGTCAGCTTAACGAGTAGGGTCCAGGCTCCGTCAGC